AAATTATTGTTAATTAACATATGAATAAACACAATATTAACTGGGGGCATGTAAACTAACTAACAATAAGTTAAATACATATTCACATGTGAATAAACATGTACGCAACCATATATATAGCTAAATATTGAATTACGGCAAGATTAATCTTGTGTATAAAAATATGGATAGTGACCAGACAAATTACACAATATATAACAATGAGTATCGTATATGTAAAATAAAATTCGAACCAACAATATTTCATACTTTCAACTAAATACCTTATAAAAATCAAAGTAATCTGAACAAACCAAAAAGTTACAGTAAGATAAAAAAGGACTTAATTGAATTAATAGAAAAACTAACTTGAAAAAAACTAACAATTGAAGCGTAATCGAGATTTGAAAAACAATGGTTGGTGATGTAAGTAGAACCGATTCAAACCAATAACTCAACATCAAGGAGACAAAAGTAGCAAGGTCTTTTAGGGTTTTCTCTTTTGACTATGAAGTCATTTGATGGATGTCGATGATGGTAATGACGATAAAGGCGGGAAATCTCAAACTTTGCACAATTCTAGGAAGATAAGTAAATGATACAAGATGATTGCGTAAATGAACGAAGTTTAAAGAAACTCCCATTTACATATTTCCAATTCTACTATTGTCTATAGTGTTACCTTTTTAATAGATAAAAGGGTGTTCCTTTAATTCTTATTTTTATTTAACATATCTTCGGTCACATTCATGATAAATATATATATATATATATATATATATATATATATATGTATGTATATGGTTGAGTTTTGGTAAGAAAAAAAGTTAAGGTGAGAAGTATAAGAAGATATCTTCATCATTGGATACACATTAGAATGAGATGCACCGAGACGCACTACATCAATCCCCGTATCAAACACAATTCATGAGTGAGTTTGAGATTAAAGTTGATCAAAAGTCCAGATCTCTTCTTACGCCTCTCACCTTAACTATCTTTCTCATGCGATCCTTGACCAATAAATAAATAAATAAATAAATAAATATATATATATATATATATATATATATATTTATATAGGGGCTGGTTCAAATACTAACCAAAACTATTGTGCAAACTATGTTAACCCGATCTTGATCGTTCATTTCTCATCAAACGGTCCTTATTAAACGAGACTATAAAAATAATCATTTAATTAATATATTAATTAAGATGCCTATGAACAACGGTTCAGAGGGTACTTTTGTAAAAACATCGCATGAACACGATGAACATTTATATGAACACGGTGAATGTTCATGGACATTACATGGATATGAACACCATGAACACCGTGAACATCGGTTTACCTCATGATCAATTAGAGGGATTTTAAAAGATTTGTAACTCCCAAATAATTATAGGGAGTTACATAAAGGTTAAATTACAAAATGACCATTGTATTCAATTTATAAGTTACATTTAAACATAAAGTAAAGAAAGAATGTGATTGGTTGATGTTGGTTAGTAGAGTTGACACAAAAAAATGGGTTAGTATTTGAACCACCCTCTATATATATATATATATGCATGAATTAATTTGTTAATATTTCAGCTATGGTGATACAAATAGGTATTTTGATATAAATGAAGGTTGATAAAATTGTGTTAAGTGCAAATGAATGAACTATATTCTTAATGGAACCCAACTCTGTTTTATTTTAATACAAGAAAGATTTCGTAACCTTGAGCATCGATCATTGGTAATTGATTTTGTTATTAACTAGTGTTTGACATCGTGCGTTGCGCGATGACAATAATTTTTTTTAAAATTTATTGAAATTAGCTAAATGAGTCGATGATCACATTTAAATATTAAACTAATAAGAATCAACATTACCTTTGATATATGAATCTAACTTATCATTATTGGTTGTTCTTTTAATATTATATATATATATATATATATATATATATAATTATTAAGTCTTATATATCATCTTTTATTATATCAAACTTTGTGATTGGTTCAAAATCATAAAAAAAAAAGAAATATGTGAAAATATTGATTATAATCATGAGGTGTATTAAGAGAATTATTTTACCATAATACATATCAATTTATCTTCTACATATATTCTCATAAAATATTTATATTCACCAAGCAATAATTGTGTTGTTATTTACATTGATATAATTATTGAATATTTTTGCAATTTGCTTATATTAGTTCATGATATACTCATTTGTAACATTGGTCAAAAACTTAATTGAAACCACTTTTTTCCTACATACGATTGCATAAAATAAAAATAATAGCTAATATTATGACCATTCTAGATATATAAGAGTCTGATTGATTTGTTATTTTTTCATTGACTTGTTCAAGCTTTTTAGATTTGTTTTAGACAGTTCATAGTTTGGTTTATTTATAAAAAAATCCTGAAAATAGAGGTTTTAATAAAATTGTGTAAAATAAAAGATATGTATTATATTGAATTTCGTATTTTAAATATAGGAATGGAAAGTCTTTTACATATATCAAATATTTTAAAAATAAAAAATCTAAGAAAAAAATTGGTTTCTAATGTTAGAGGATAACACCTCATTATGTTTGGTTTCTTCTTTAAGAATTAAAAATATTAGAAAATAATTTCCAAGCTCAATGCTAAAAAAAGAAAAAAAAAATCACAATAGACCAATTAACATCAACAAAAACAAAAACTCATATCATATTTGTTTTCATGAATGACTCCTCAAATCAACAAAAAAAATAAAACACATCCACAAAAACTGAATAAAGAAGAAGAATTGGGAGATTAAAATAGATTATTATGCTAAACAATGTTACCTTATTTCATCAAAGATTCATATGCCACTTCATTCACACAAAAAAAATCATATGCCTACATAATTCCAACTTTAGTGTGAATTCTCCGACTAAAAGACGAAATACTATACTTACTTAAGTAAAAACTCATATTATGATTAGTCTTATTGAATGACGCCTCAAATCAACAAAAATGCAAATCACCCCCACAAAATTATAACTGAATAGAGCAAAAGAATTGAGAGATTCATATGTTTGTATAATTCCAATTTTAGTGTGAATATCTCCAATTAAAAGACGAAAATACTATACTTACATTAACAAAAACCCATATCATATTTCTCTTATTGAATGACGCCTCAAATAAACAAAAATGCAAATCACCTCAATAACTGAATAGAGAGGAAGAATTGAGAGGGTTTTTTTTCTATCCAATGTTACACTATTTCTTTGAGGATTCATATGTCACTTTATCCCACAAAAACTCCATATGTCTACATAATTCCAATTTTAATGTGAATATCTCCGAATATAAAAAGAAATATTATACTTACATTAGCAAAAACCCATACTATGATTTGTCTTATTGAATGACACCTCAAATCAACAGAATTGCAAATCGCATCCACAAATTTATAACTGAATAGAGAGGAAGAATTGAGAGATTAATAGAGAGATTATCATAGAGGTGTACTACAAAATTATACATGAATAGAGAGAAAGAATTGAAAGATTAATATAGAAGTTATCATAGAGATGAACCACAAACTTATACATGAAATAACCAAGGCACCCCGAGAGAAAAAAGGAGGAAGAAAGTGAAGAAGAAAGAAGAGAGGAAGAGAAAGAGAGAAAAAAAACAGAGAAAGGGGAAGAGATGAAGAGAGAGAAGAAGAGGGGGAGAAAGAGAAAGAAAGAGAAACCGACCACAAGGGAAGGGCCCAGTTAAGCCAAGACCGGGAAAAACAACGGGGGACACCACATGGGCAGGAGAAGGGGCCTAAAAAAGGCACACCCTAGACCGCACCAAGAAAACCAGGAGAGCAAAGGAGCTCACACAAACAGACAAAACAACACAAAAGAAACGGACGGCTAAGGAAGGTTCGCCCCCACCCGAGCGCGTTTTTTGTCTTGCTTTTTAGCGTTTAAGTGTTTTTTCTTGATTTGGAGGGGTCACCCCCCTCTCTATCAAAAAACTTATACATGAATAGAGATGAAGAATTTAGAGATTATTACAGAGGTGTACCATAAAGAGAAGATGAAAAATTATAACCGAATAGAGAGAAATAATGAGAGTTAAAAGAATACTTATTAGAGGGAACATGAATAGGTTGAAACAACCTAATTAAAGGATCTTAAATGTGAATATGAAACATAAAAACAAATATTAAAGTAGGAGAAGCTTGAGAAAAGAAAAATAAAGATAAAACATTTTCTTGTTTTGAGAAAAGGCCACATCATTGCATGTGGTTTCTTCTTTAATATATATATAGATTAGTCGGTGAGTATTTATTGAAAAAGACAATTAATTATGAAACTATCAAAAGTTAATCAATTGAATACGATAATACGACTGTCTTCACCAAAACAACTACTCTACTATTTAGAAGCAGAAATCAGATCTACGTACATCATATATCATGCAAAGCTGATTTGATTTGACTACTCTACTCTTTAGATATATAAAACGTATCTACATAACAAATCAGAACTCGTTTTATTTGATTACTCTACTGCCCTTTAAAAGTAAAGATTAAATCTGTATACATCTTATCCTAAAACAACAATATTTGATTTGAGGAATTTAACCTTTAAAGGTAAAAATCATATGTATATACATGTTATTGCTTTGGTTTGGTATGGTAAAGAAAAAGAAGTCCATCCAAAAGCATCAAAATCCCTTCACAATCACAATATTGACCAAGTCATAGGTAACATGTTGCATGAAAAGTTGAAAACTAAAAACAAAGGCTTAAATGAAAGCTTCATTCAATTCAAGATCCTCATTTAACATTCTCTTCTTCTTCTTCTTCTTTTCTCTCTCTCTAGATCTCTCTCTCTCTCTCTCTCTAGCTTTCTCTCTCTCTCTCTCTCCATCTCCATATCCAACACTCTTCTTCTCTAACTCCATTAATAAGCATCAAAACAACACACACTTGCATGCCATTTTTAGATCCTTCATGATTCTGAATCTTTGTTATGTCTAGTTGTTATGGATACTCTCTTTAGGCTTGTCAGCCTCCAAAAACAGCCCTCCCACCACCACCACCACCACCACCATCCTCTGACCAACTCCACCAGCAGAACCAATTCAAACAGTTCTAAATCATCCAACCACCATACAACCACTCCACCATTTCACTTTAACTACCAACAAGAAGAAGATCAAGAAGAATGCTTCAACTTTTTCATGGATGAAGAAGATTTCTCTTCTTCTTCCTCACGGCACCACCACCATAACCAGTACTACTCTTCTCAACAAACACCTTTCCACCACCAGTCTTCTAATACGCCAACTCCGACCACTAGCACCACCGCCACTCCGCCACCGTTGTCCCACTATGGCGCCTTTTCTTCTTCTGAACACCAACAGTCTTCTGATCCCAATATCAACTACTCTTACTCGCCGGCACGTGATGTCACCATGGAGTTTTCGAATTCTTTCACCGTCAACAGCTGGGCTTCCGACGTGCTTTTGGAGGCTGCACGTGCCGTGGCGGAGAAAAATAGCGGGAGGTTGCAGCAGCTGCTGTGGATGCTTAACGAGCTGAGCTCGCCGTATGGAGACGTTGATCAGAAGCTATCGTCTTATTTTCTTCAGGCGCTTTTTAGTCGTATGACGGATTCCGGCGACCGGTCTTACCGGACTTTATTATCGGCGTCGGATAAAATGTGCTCGTTTGAGTCAACGAGGAAACTGGTGTTGAAGTTTCAAGAAGTCAGCCCTTGGACGACGTTTGGACACGTGGCGTGCAATGCTGCCATCATGGAGGCGTTCGACGGCGAGAGCAAATTGCATATAGTAGATGTAAGCAACACTTACTGTACCCAATGGCCGACTTTGCTTGAAGCCATTGCAACACGCACCGATGAAACACCACATCTCCGTCTTACCACGGTTGTCGCCACCAAATTGGGCGGTGGCGCCACCGTTTCCGGCAGCGCAGTGCAAAAGGTTATGAGAGAGATCGGAAATCGGATGGAAAAATTCGCCAGATTAATGGGTGTTCCTTTCAAATTCCATGTAATACATCACACCGGAGATTTATCGGAATTGAATTTGAGCCAATTGGGTCTCCAAGATGATGAAGCTCTTGCTATTAACTTGAACGGCACGTTACGTTCCGTCAGCAATCATCGGAGAGATTATTTGATATCGACGTTCCGGAGTTTGAACCCCAAAATCATCACAATCGTTGACGAAGAAGCTGATTTAGAAGTGGGTACCGATGGGTTTGAATTCGTGAGAGGGTTTCAAGAATGTTTACGATGGTTTAGGGTTTACTTCGAAGCTCTCGATCAGAGTTTTCCAAAAACAAGTAACGAACGGCTGATGCTGGAAAGGGCTGCGGGACGAGCGGTGATGGATTTGATAGCATGCTCACCGGCGGAGTCCATGGAGCGGCGGGAGACGGCGGCTCGGTGGTCAAGTAGGCTCCATGCAAGTGGATTTGGTCCGGTTTCTTACAGCGATGAAGTGTGCGATGATGTTCGAGCTCTGCTAAGAAGGTATAGGGAAGGGTGGTCGATGAATCCGTCGGAAGCGGCGGCCGGAATATTCTTGACGTGGAAAGAAACGCCGGTGGTGTGGGCTAGTGCATGGAAGCCGATATGATTGTGACTTCCACTAAAAGCAAGAAAGAAAAAGAAAAGAGAAAAAGCTGATGGTGGCACGTGCATGGGATGATGTGTTTTTATTTTTATCTTTTCACTTTTTTTTTTGGGAGAACTGAAAATTTGGGAATTTTCTTTTTTATTACTATTTTTTAGAGGTTGAAGAATGGGGTTTGACTTTTGATTCAAATAGCAAGCGAAGGCAAAAATATTCTCATTAATATTTTCTTTATGGATTTTATTTTATTTGGTTGTGATTTTATTAATTAGTAATAAATGCATTAATCCTATTTTACGTTTAATTCCTATTTATAAATTTGAGACATTATTTGAAGTATTTTATTAGACTTTTGACCCAACGAAAACGACCCATGAATCGAATAAATTAAATAAATCAATTAATTTGTATTATAAAAATTAAAAACAACTACCAAATTTTCAATAAATTAATTAAATAAAAAAATGGATTAGGTCCAAATAAAATGGAGTTGGTAAGTGCGTGAGATCATTAAGACTCAGCTAATCCACTAATTAATTAATCCTCAACTAATTAATAAAACCAAATATTATTTTCTCAATTTAAATAAATTATTTTGGAAATGGAATCTTGGATTATTTGTAAAAATCTGAGTAAGCCCATTGGACTTTCTAATTTCCATGTTTCGGCCCAAAGGTCCATTCGGCCCATAAACATGGGGATCGGATCGCTTATGTTCATTTCTTTTTATGATGACGTCATAATTACATATTTATGAAGTCATCGCGAAATAAAAATATAAAAACTGGGTTGATTTAAAATTATTTTATTCCCAAAAAAATGGAAGAATTAGTTTGTGATATAGACCTGTAAACGAACTGAACGAAGGCTTGTTCATGTTCGCTTGTTTAACTTAACCGAACAAACGAACGGTAAACGAACGAAAATCTTTGTGTTCGTGTTCGTTTGTTTAGAAATCAGGTGTGTTCGTGTTCGTTTATGTTCATTCGTTAACATGCTAAACGAACGTAAACAAATGAGCATAAACGAACGGGCTAAATGAACATAAACGAACGGGCTAAACGAACATAAATATTATTTGAATTCAAAGTAAATAAACAAAAGATTATATATTAAAGTTAATATACAAACGAACGTTTACGAATATAAATGAACGAACGAGACTCTTGTTCTTGTTCGTTCGTTTAACTAAAAAAAATTGTTCATGTCCGTTCATTTATTAAATAAACAAACATAAATAAACTTCCCGCCGAACGGTTCACGAACAGTTCGTTGAACGTTCGGTTCGTTTACTGCCCTAGATACATTAGTTATTCAAGAAATTGAAAAATGTGAAAAAAACAGTGTTTCGAGTTCCGACCTATATAATCTGGAATCTTATGTATTTTATGTTTTATCTGACATATCTAATCTGTTCATTTTATTATTTGTATTAATAAATTCTTTTTTTCATGTAAATTCATTGTCATAGTATAAAGCAATTTACATAATATTTTTTTATCATATAACATGATGCAGACGAAAGATCGTGTGAGGAAAAAAGTTATCGTGAGATGCGTAAGAAAATATTTAAACCCTTGATCACTTTTAATCTCATGCCCACCTATGAATTACATTTTAGAAAAAAAAAATTGATTCGATTGTACCTTATTAGTATTAACATTCAATTAGAATTAATTAAATGATATAGATCTCTTCTTACATTTTTAATCATAATTTTTTTTTAACTGGAATACAACCCATATAATACAACTATTATATTTAATAAATAGATTTGTGGCTACATCAATAACATTTGTTGACGTGGTTTTAATTTAATGATGACATAAATAATGAGAGAAAATATATGATGTCCCTTTAATCGTAGTGACACCAAAAGGAACCCAATGTCCCTACAAAAGAGATATGGAAATTTTGGTAGTGGGAACAACTTTTAATGGTATAAAAAGAGCATATGTACAAATGGGTACTTATACTTTGTGCCCATGTTCGATTTATCTGTTAAAGTTTTCGATATATCAGTTAGACCACTAAACTTCACTTTCTATCACAAACGATTGTCATTTCAATTACCATGAGACGTAATTCAACTACTAAGATCTTGAATTTGGTCACGAGAGTTCATAGTTCAGATATTCTCATGATCATCTGATTGTTAACTTTAGGACCTGTTGGATTAGACAAGGTATGTATAAAGCAGATTTGGATACCGTGACTAAAAAAAAAACCATTTCACCTTTTTTTCTTATAAAAATGGGTTTATCATGTCATAGTAGAAACTTTAAAGAAGATCTTCAAAGTTAGAATACTAATGAATATATTAAATTTGAATAAGGGGTAGTTTATCCAAACGCTTACCCGTTAAGCATTTATCGGTAAGAATCAACATTTTTACTTGACTTATTAGGTGAGATTTTAGTCCATCAAAATCGGCATCGTAAGCAATAATTTACCCGGTAACTGTTAACAGGGTAAGACTCGCCACCTTCATTTACCGAGTAAGATTCTCGGTCCTTGCCATCTTTCTTACCGGATAAAATTCTACACTCAACATAATTGGCTTTATAAGAAACATAGAATGTCTAGTGTTCTAACAGAATACTTTATTTTTTTTGACCGGTTAAAAACAAAAGAGAGTACAGGTTAAAAACAATACATGGGAGAATTACACCACTCTATCCAACTATTCGCCATAACATCTTTCGGCACCCTGTTTTTAAACCAGAAAAAAGAATACGCCTGAAGCTGGCCTGCAATAAAGTAGCCATCATCTAAGAAGGGACTGAGAAAGTTTTGCGGTTGCGCAAGTTCCAAATAATCTAGAAGAATCTATACACCACTCCAATAAACGCCTTCTTACACAAAAAGTTCCCAGCCACCTCCGAGCAACGGTCAAGAAGATTATCAATCAAATTCACCTGTCCTATGTCCACTTTCCACCATTTGCACAAATCCTTTAGCAATTTGCCGAGATATCGAGATATTATAGAACTTAAATTCATATGATCAACTTATAAAACATCATATATAAAAGTGGTACATTAGGTTTATATAACTTTTTTTTGGATGTTTTAACAAGTTTTTAGGACGCTTTTAAAGTAAAGTGTTATATTAGCTATTTTATAGGATACTTTTGATAAGTGCCTTATAAGCTCATTTTTTATAGAACGTTTGTGTTTATAAAACACTTTTTCAATTAGTGTCATATAAAATAGCTAATACGAAAATTTAATTTAGAAGTGTCCTAAAAAACTTGTGAAAACATTTAAAAATGTACCATAAAAATATTTTAATACTTTTACATATGACGCTTTTTGATTTGCTCATATAAACTTAAGTCTTATAAAATATTTTATCAGGACGTTTAAACATTTCGAGCATCCTATAAAAACCAATTTTTGTTGTAGTGCTCATTCCTTACCATGTTCATCCGGTAAAGTAAGGGGTCATTTACCAAATGCTTTTCTTGGTAAGTGTTTACCAAGTTATATTACCTACTAATGAATATGGCAAGTACCAAAAATCTTACCCAGTAAGAGCGAAGACATTAACCGAGAATCTTATCCGGTAAGTGAAGGCAATGACTCTTACCCCGTTAGCGCTTACCAGTTAAATTTTTGCATATGATGTCGTTTTAATGGACTAAAATCTTACCCGATAAGGTAAGTGATATGCTGAATTTAAGCGGTAAACGCTTACCGAGTAAATGATTGGGTAAACGACCCATTAGTGTCTCGTTAAGTGCTTACCAGGTAAACATTTGGTAAACAACCCCTTATCCCATAAGATACAGTACAAGCGTGATGTATATATAAGCATTTGGTAAACAACTCATAATCCCACAAGACATACTACAAACGTGATGTATTCACTACATGTGGTCATTGAAGTACTAATGGAAACGAATTAAGCTATGAAACTATTATGAATAAAAGGGTAAAAACGCAAACCAATAGTCTATAGAAAAGTAAAGAACCGTACCTGATCGTCAACCAATATAAGTGCGGTTTTTACTCACATAATGAGATCTTAATTGTTCCATCTTAGCCTAGGTGAACATGAGATGATGCTAAAATGGACACTTATTATGCAAATTTGAAGGTTGGATGTCTAATTCATCGTAACTTGAAGGGCGGTAATGAAACTAAGTCAAAGTATAAGGACCAATTTGTAAATACAAAAAGTAACCAAATGTTGATGAGACCTGCCCCCCCTCCAACTTCAGCAATGCCCCACTTTAACCCCCTCTTTTTCATATCCTTTCAATTGCTTCTGGCTTACCCTGCATGTGTTGGCCCATAAGCTTAAACTTTTACTTTTTTATACCTTTTGACATTTTTTTAAAATGTATCTGAATATGACCCCATTGTCCCCTATTGCTCCTATTTTTAAATTCCTTAACATTCAATAAAAAGGATTTGTTATTAGCAAAAATACATTTTTACCCTTTAGCAGTTTAGCTGTTTTCTTGATCAGTTTAATATTTTGACCTGATCGTAATCAGATAACTAAGTGGTACGGAGGTGGTTTGATGGGTACTACCAGATAATGCACCGTATTGTTATTTCCGCCTTTATTACCTTCGCACTTGTCAAAAATATATTTAGTTCAATTATTTGTCGGCCATTCAAGAACGAGCTTTGTTCTAGAAAAGACTTTACCTGCAAAGCTGCTGAGATTAAAACATCCTTCATGATTCAAAAATAATGTGGGAAAAGGTAAAGGTGCTTTTCGGGTATAATTACTTTTTCATAACGTGTTTCTTTCAAAAGTGACGTTTAATTGTGAAAGACAATGAAGAAGATGTGTACTTTTGATAATAATATTGGCATGGAAAAGTTTCTACCTGGTCTACCGAAATGCCCCTTTTAGTTTGAAGCTGAATAAGTTACCACCCAAAAAACGTTTTTACTTTTAGAAGCATGTTTCTGTTCCAAAACGACAAAATACTAACTGCACATGTCCATCGATACAGTCTTGAATATAGTGGAAGACAGACTTGATATAGAACGTCAAAAGTATGGAATCAAATATTACATTTAGCGATACTGAATATCAGAAAGTATATGAATTTGTATAATATTAGAAGAGTACTCGCGCAATACAGCGAGACACATCTCGATTTTA